AAATATGTATGACGTCATTTTATGACGTCACCGGTGTTGCTATGGGCAACATAAGACTTAGTATACCCTAATATTCTGTCAAAAACACTTTTGTTAAAGTTATGTTGTATACCATTTAGTTTTCAGGGAAAAGCCTATCTAGACGGTTTTGGCCAATAAAATCACATTAATGACGTCATAAAGATGTCATATTACGTCATAATGACAAAAAATTGTAGATATGATAAATTTTTACTACTACACCATCCTCTGAAAATTTGGTAGTCATACGACATACCGTTAGCGAGTTCTGAGGGGGGGGGTCAAAAGAGCCCCCCCCCCGGTCAAATCTTGCTCAAAAAAGCCCGGTCTAGATAGGGTTAATGGCAGAGGGATCAATGTAAATGAATGGACAATTTCTGTGCACAAAATTAAAACTATAACCCAAGAAAAAGAGTCTACATTAGCCTGGGTGCCATCCTCTGTCGTTTTCGCCTACTCCCTAATGTCGCTGGCTACCACGGAGTCCGGACTTGCTGACATACTAACGGCAAGAGCACCCTCCCCTCAAAAATGGGCTTAGACGAGTAAGACCTATCAGCACACTTCAAAATCTAAACGAATATGCAGATTGAAGCCGTTAGTATGTCAGCAAGCCCAGACACCGTGGTAGCCAGCGACATTAGGGAGCGGGGAAAAGGACGGAGGGTGGCACCCAGGCTAATGTAGACTCTTTTTCTTGGGTTATAGTTTTAATTTTGTGCACACATCAAACTATCGATTGATCAATAGTTTGTGCTTATAAACCTGCATTTCCCCTCTGGTCTCTCAGTCACTGACGAAAGCTAGTGGATACTAGCTGAAACGTCTGACGTTTTCAAAAGCATATCCAGTTGCTTGAGTAACTGCTTTTTGGCGTATCGTATTACCTGGATGTCTAACCTTCATCGACGTAAACGACACTTTACTTTTGCCCAATTTAGGAGGCACAAAATATCTATTCTTTAGCACCAGTAATCATTTCTTTTTTTTAAAGATTTTTTAAAAGGATTTTTCGTAATCGTTTGACCGTAATGTATGACAGATAAAAAAGTAGAACCTCTTTGTTTGGTAGAACAAATAAATTGGCTATGTGTTATGCACCCTACTCCAATTATAATACGCTACCATAAGGCCAATGGAAAACAAAAATAAAAAGAACCGCATTTTTACATGGTGACGCCAACCAACGAATTGACATGTTTTGTCGCAGAGCTCTGTGGGGGTATCGCGGCGCTCCATGGAGGAGCTCTGCAGAACTGAGGACTGCACGAGCAAGCTCCATGGAGGAGCTCTGCAGAACTGAGGACTGCACGAGCAAGCTCCATGGAGGAGCTCTGCAGAACTGAGGACTGCACGAGCAAGCTCCATGGAGGAGCTCTGCAGAACTGAGGACTGCACGAGCAAGCTCCATGGAGGAGCTCTGCAGAACTGAGGGTTGCACGAGCAAGCTCCATGGAGGAGCTCTGCAGAACTGAGGGTTGCACGAGCAAGCTCCATGCAGGAGCTCTGCACTGGTCACTAGACAACCTCGTGCCCAGCGCAGAATTATTACTTTCCTCGCGATTTTTACAGGTTCTAGGTTCTGGAGTTTAATTTTAAATTTTTTCTCAAAAATTAGAAAAGGGACTTACGAAATGCCGCATTGCACATGAATGTCATTGATAACAGCTGTTAGAATGAGATGTATGCTGAATGCCCTAGCCGCCTATGTTAATAAAAATCTCGTGAAGCTCCGTCAAAACTTTCACATTGAAGCTTATTCAATGAGAGCCTCTTTATATTTACTGTGTTTATATTTTGTTAGTTTAATACATTGTGATTCTAAAGGACAACGCATCGAGCATTTATGATTTGGGCACGTAGGTCGCTGAAAAATGCATTTTAGTAAGATGCAACTTTGGACTCTTAATTGAAGCGCTTTACTGACCGTGTATAAGGTATATTTTCCCTCCCACAGGGTCGCAGGTCGCACAATATCCACCACACCTGGCAGAGGCAATCTGCAGAACAATTGTGTCAGATGTATCATAAAATAACAGTATATTTTATAGATTATAAAAAAAAGTTTAAAAACTGACTGGGCATGTATTTACAAAGTAATGGTATTTTTCACATTCTGCAACGCCCAAAACTTTGCAATTTGTCTTAACCACATCCTAATCGATCATGGTTTTCGAGATTCGCTCTTTTTTACATATTACATGCTCCGCAAATAAGATTTTTGTTGCTGTCAAAGAGGTTATACTTGGGGTAGCGTTTGGCGTGGATGTTTGCGAATCGGCACGGCACCTCAACAAGATATAAATAAAAAAGCTATTAGATTCTGGGCGGCTTGAGGCTTTGCTTCGAACAGCAAATCTTTTGATTTTAACATCTCGCGTTCTATACAAGGTACCTCAAAGGTATATGACAAAACTTTAACAAAAAAGTGCATCAAAATTACATTTTTAGTACTATATTTACAATATCTCAATACATATTTAAAAATAGTTGAAAAGATAAAGTTTAAAACATTTCATGAAAATTAAAAAAAACAACACTAAAAGTGGATGGTATGGTGAAAGAAATGTTCAATAACACCTTTTAATGTACCATCTCACCATTTATCTGCAAATCATGCTCAATTTGGAAATAAAACCTAAAGAAATACTGTATTAACCGAAATACTGAATTTTGCTAAACGGGCAAGAGGCAGATTGAAGTTACCTCAATAATATGGTGATTGTTTGGATAGGTAACATTTCTTTAATTTATAATCATAATAAGTAATAATTTTCAATGATTTGGCACATATAAATCCGTAGACTTAACTAACTTCTAGGCTTGAAGAATGGATATTGCCTTAAATTTAAATTAAATGCAAGATGTGCAGCACAGTTAACAACTAAGTCGTTATGAAGAAGAGACAAACCTTTCCATCATCGGACTTTGTCATGTCAGAGATTTGCAGATTTTCTGGCCAGTGTTCGTTTAACTTCCATTCGACGTTTGCCAGTTTGAGTTTTGTCCCAGTCAGATTCACCTTAAACTTTCCCTTAGCACATCCCTGTAATGCTGAATAGCAGTCTCCAGCGTGTCCGAATTTTATATCTCGCCCATCTGTCAATAAATACAATCATTTTAAAAGGAAAGCAAATCGAAAACTTTTAAGTTTTCCCCATACAGCGTGGGGCAAGTTTACCTAGTAAAAGATTATTAGGTTGCATGCTGCCAGTTAAACAAACTGTAGAGATTATTGTAGAGAATTCTTGTTTGTTGACCTTCAATATTCGCTTACTTTTCGCCATTCTATAGTGCAGACATTTCTTTTTTTTGGGGGGAGACTTACTTTTTACCCGGTTTCTAGACAGCAGTGCTACATAGAGGTTCGGTATCAACTCGGCAGATATAGAAGAAATGTTCTCGTCATGTAAAGTAACCAAACTTGTACGCACCAGTAGTCCGTGCAAAGGTGTAGTCATCTCGAATAACCTCGATCCTGGACTTATCAAACTTGATTCTTAGCTTGCTAAACTTCGTAGTTCCTGCATAGTCATAGTCCCTCTAAATAATAGAATCATAAAGAAAATTACACTGTCTTGAAATTGAACTTGATTACACAATGCATCAATGAGTTTGTTTGAAGAGTTTGTTGGGTTGATTCTAAGGCACAATTTAGCTATTTTCAAACATAAAAGACAGTAAAATCATTAATTTAATATTGCTGTCAACAGTGTTAACTTACCGTTGTTAATCCATTGCATTGTTTTGCAGTCAGAAGTCTATAAGGATAGACATGGGCAAAGTTCTCATTAGGACCCGATGGTAGGGACAAGAACTCCTTTGGGTTCCCTGATGCCATGTTGTAACAATAGATGCGGAGGGATACATCCTTGTTCGTTGGAAATGGGCGAAATGTGTACTCTCCGTCCGAGGCTCGCGGTAGTAGGGACTTCACATCAGAGCACGAGTCAATGCCTGGAAAAATGAGTTTGACAGATCGGTTAAAAGGAAAAAAAAAGGTTTCATAGCTGGTGTCTATCCGTGCAACAATGACACAAATTCTTTGAAAAGCAGAGAATCTTATCCGGTTGGCATTATTATGTCCCACATATCATCAGAAAACATAAATAAAACTATAATTAAATAATATGATGCTAATCCCCATTGTTAATTACCGGGGGTTTGTAGCTGACAATGACCTACAAAGGACAAGTATATGCACTGGAAAGGACGATATTTGCTCGGGAGCAAAAACCGAACCGAACGAAAAGAACCATAACTTTCGGCTGCGAACACATTTGCAAACGGTGACACTATGGGTGAGAAAACAGCTGTTTCTAATCAACAACAAAACAGCTGCTCGTTATCTACATGTGATATTCGTGACAGACCGAGGATAATCCGTGCTGCACGGTTTTGGAGTTTCTGGAGGTTGTCAGAGAGAGATTTCCCACAGTTGGCCCTTACAGTGTCGCAGTACTCAATCTTTGGGAGAACCATACAATTAAACAGCATAGAAAGTGTCTTAGGCGGTAGAATGGGTACTAGACGTTTTAACACTCCTAGCCTAGAGGACACTGCATTGCATAGCTTGTTAATATGTATGCTCCATGTGAGACAGGGATCAAGCCAAACACCCAAATACTTGAAACATGAAACTACCTCCAAATACGTTCCGGAAAGAGTAAGATTTAGTTGTTCGCTATGTAGACGTAGCCTTCTCACAGTGCCAAAAAGCATTGCCTTGCATTTCCGGACATTAAGTGTCAGTCTGTTTGCATCCAGCCACCTCTCAATATTGCGGAGATCCGCATTCAAGGCTCTGTTTATATCAGTAACTGATTTCGATGCAAAGAAAATTGCTGTATCATCCGCATAGATTACTATTTGTCCTTGGCTTATGTAGTTTGGCATATCATTTATGAATATAATGAACAACAATGGTCCCAGAACGGAACCTTGTGGGACCCCTTCAGTTATCCCTAGGCAATCACTAGTGGTACCGTCTATAACTGTTATCTGGCACCTGTTTGACAGGTATGACTGAAACCACAACAATTCATTGTCTTGGATGCCTGAAGGAATCTGCCTGAAGGAACCTCCTACCCCTGATGCAAAACAACGCTTTATAGTCTCAGCACACAATATTTATTTATTGGTGAACCCCGTAGTCAAAAGTATTCCGGGCACAGCGTAGGGAGGCGCAGTACTTAATAACGCTGCCAGGATTCTTTGGCGCAGGATAGCGAGGTGAAGACTGTGCTGGATTGTAGAGGAATATTAATGCATTGGGTTTGTTTGGTCGGGGTCGATTTGCGCCTAGATCCTGTTACGACCTAGTACTGTGTGTGGGCTGCAGTTCACATGACCCCCACAAAGTGTCGTTTTTTAGGGGAAAATGAGCTGGCAGACTTAAGCTGATTTCCACATACATGTATTTTGTAGGTAGCACCCTAAACCCGTGCATATTAATTTTCTGTAATTTGTGCACCCTACTATATATTTTACAGCATAAGCATGCCATGCCTACATATAAACGACGTATAAAATTTAATGCCGATAAAACAAAGGGGCCGATAAAACAAAAGGAACCTGCAAACTCGAAAAACCAACTGACCACAGTACTCCTGTAGGATGGATACCTCACGGAATAACAACTGCTATTCTTTAACATATCATATTCACAATTGTTATGTTGTAATGTTAATTATGACGTCTACTATGAAGCTAGTTTGTTATTCCATATATATCAAGTTCCCCTTACCTTGACAGGACTCCGCTCCCGGAGCGCTGCTGAACTCCCCTGCTGCACACGGCACGCACATTGTCCTGTCGTCGTTACTGGCCGTTCCCGCTGGACAGATGTCTTCCCGCTCGTCCCCCAGCTTACATTCATGGCCGGGACGACATGGGAGGCAGGTGAAGGCATTTTTATCATCTGTAAAATGAAAAAAATATACCACTTAGTGGCACTTAGGCCATGTTAATTTGATTATATGGATGACATCCGCGCGCGCATGAATTTTCGGCCGTTTCCAAAAAAAACAAAAACAAATTTCAACCATACTGTAAATCGTACAAAACAGTTGCAAAATGAGCAAAAATATACCATACAAGTTACAAAAAAAATAATAAAAACTATACCAATGTCGTAGAATGCCAAAATCAAACGAAAAAAGACGAAATTGTAAAGAAATGAACTTGAAGACTAGATTAGTCGCCAAACCATATTCTGTGCCATTTGTTCACCCTCATGACCACGTAGATTTCATAATGAAAAGAACTTTTTTTTTGCAAAACTTTTTTTTATTCGCACGCGCGCATCGGTTTTGGGGCTCCCGGAGGATGTCATCCATATAATCAAATCAACATGGCCTTACAAAAAATAGAAATCTCCATTCATTTATTATTGTAGTAACATCCTGCACAATAAGGCTTTACCGTCTGTAATTTTGTTAGTAAAATTCACCTATTATATTCACATTTCTACCTTTTGAATCATAATAAATAACACCTACCTATCACAGCATTGGAGTTACCTTTGGCAGGGCAATTTTACTTTTGCAACAGAAGAATAACCAAAGGAAGGCTAGCAATCAAAAAAAGTTATTGTCAATCTGAAGGATTTTTATTGTTTGTTGTCTTCAAGAGTGTGTATAATTGCCAGGGTTAGCTGCCCGCAGTGGTCTCGTGTCCGTGTCAGGAAGGGAAGTTCTTGTGCCCAGATCAGTGTGTGTCGTTTTAGAAAAACCCGGAAGTAGAATTTAATATAGGATGATTGGCCCTTCGCCTATGGAACCACTCATTTTTTCGCTATGTACGGAAAGGTCAGCGTATGGCGAATTCGACTTATGCAACACTTGCGCTAGATAACGAACTTTGTTCTAAAAATCAAATATATCTGCAACATATAAAAAAATTCTGCCCGTTCAGCCATTTAATCAATAGATAGAGCATGGTTTAAGGCCGACTACGTGGATTTAGAACTGCCCCACCTACCAAGGGGATTTCATGTCTCCCGAGGCCGAAAGGCCGAGGTTGACCTAAAATCCCAAAGCTAGAACTAGACTGGGCAGTTCTAAATTCACGTAGTCAGACTCAAACTGTGCTCTATCTAACTTAGATAACTTCAAGGTCTCCAAAGTTAATCAACTTCCTCTCCTAGTACCTGATTTTGCTTTGTAAATCTTTGTTTAGTGTCACTTATTGTCTCATTTCAGTCTGCCTGATTGACAACAACAAGGTTGTCAATCAGGCCACATAGACAGCCAAACAACTCCGAGAAGAATCTGTCTGCTCCCATTCTCCTGGGCATAAAGCTTGACACTGCCTTTTTTCCATGGATACAAAAGTGGGCGTCTACAATTAATTCACTTAGTTAGAGCACGGCCGTTCCCCCAGAGATGGACTAATTCCGGCTCACTGTTTGGCTGAGATGGTTGGTCAGTTATTAGTACACCTCTACCCCAAGGGAGAATGGGAGGCACTAATTAGGCTAAGGAGGCTACTATGTGGATATAATTACTAGAAATACAGGATCCCTATTTCAGCATGAAAGTTCATCTGAGTTGGTAAATTACATTATGAAGAAGTTAAACTGTTATCCAACTCAAAATTTGACTCACCGGAATTTTCGACTGAATCACTCACTGACCCAAATGCCGTGATTTTTCCCACGTGTCAAACACTCAACACTCACGCAACACTCAGCAAAGGGTCAAAGGTTGTCTGAAGTCGATATCACACCGTCCCGGTTGAGCGATGGTTGAAGTGCCCTTTTTGCTAAGGGGACCTAGCAGTTCTCTATTAAGTAAAAGAGGCGATTGTTTCAAAATCATTATCATCACTAACGTAGTAGAAGAATGCCTTTATGTATGTAAACATGACAAACCTCTAACTGCTTTCTGCCCAGGTCTACATCCTTTCACACAACGTCTCCTATTCTTATACTTGCAGGTGTCACAGTCGTCTGTAGCGGGTCCTGAGCAGATCCTTTTTCCTTCATTTGTCACGTCTTTACAGAAGCTGCTGCACTCTGCAAACGTAGACATGTGCGTCCGCATTAACTATTGACAAACATAAAAATTTTAGAAATTGAGGCAACCTGTAATATGTTAACTCTAGGGGAACGATAATTATTAGAAAATCTTCGACAGATTTGATTTGATTTGATTGATCTACGGTAGATTCTGGTCTCATGTAACGAGCTTTCGTGAACAAGCAATGAAATCACTATGGCCAATTTCTAAGAATGTGACATAATTTATCAACATTTGACAAAATCCATTGGCATTGCAATTAAGATGTGCATAAATAGCTTTTATGGTTAAAAATATTATCATAATTATATAATTCATTTCTGAACATACTTTTGCACACGGTAATGTTGTCAACAAAGTGTGTCAGAGGGCACTCCGTTACGCATGTCACAACACCACCAGGGCGGGTTTCGTCCATCCTCTTAATGCCTGGAAAGTGACAAAGAAAAATACACAAGGAATTTGTAATTTAGTACAACGCGAACTTCATATGTTTTATTTTCTTAGGACATCCAAATGTTCTTGGCTTGGCTTCGTATCCGAAGATTTCAGGGGCCCTTCTTTCTCCTACTGCACGCCCGCTGGTGGCTGACAAATGTAACAAAAACGATGTTTTATAGTAATCTTTAAGTGACAAGGCTCTAAGATGCAATAAGAGTTGTGTATTTGCTAAAACACATACATCCGTTAACGTTTATGCTTGTTATATCTTTCGTTTGAACCTACACAGAATCGTTATTTGAAGTAGAGAAAGCAAAATAGTTTAAGACCAAAAGGGCTAAACGTTCTAGGCAACACTAAGTAAATTGGAAGGGGCTTACCCAAATTTTCGGCCGACTTTCACGGATTGCTATTGCAGCTTCCGGGACGTGACGTCGGAAACACGTCGGAGAAAAGCTGCAAGCACGCATTTTCGACGTCACGTCTCGGAAGCTGCAATATGGTCCAATCCGTAAACAAGGCTGACGGAGTTGACCTAAAATTTGGGTAAGTTCCAATTTACTTAGTGTTGGATAGAACGTTTAGCCCCTTTGGTCATAATGAAGTCTACCAAGTTAAACACTGAAGAACCAAAATCGTTTTTATATCAGCAAACCATATCAAACTCCTAAACACAAAGTTGCGTGCGAATTACTTACATGAGCATGTTTTTGTAGCATTGTCAGACTTCATGTGCTGCGGACACTGCGCGACGCATTCGAAATCACCAGTCTGTCCCTCTCTGTAGGGGTAGGTCACCTTCAGATGTTTACAGGCGATGCAGTCAGTTGGGGAGTTGGATCCACTTGTGCGGCATCCTGTGTATAGATAGAATGAAAAGATAGAAATACTTCATTTAATTAATCGTAGGGTCGTTTGGCGTAGTGACAAAGTGCTAGACTCGGAACCAAGAGGTCCCGGGTTGTAGTCCTGACATGCCATCGATCATGTCATCGATCTTGATCATCGATGCCATCAACAGGATTTATGATGTCAAAATTTCAAAACATAGGAAACTTGTTTTGGAGGCCCGCCTTGTTTCTTTTTCGCCCTCTTGCATTAGTTTTGGAGTCTACGGAGGATGTCATCCATAAAATTTATTTGGTGTGGCCTTATCTTAAATGACACATCAGCACGGCTTTCGTTGTATTGATGATCTCTATGTTATCTGGGAAAATAGGTAAACTAGGTAGCCTCACCTTCACACTCGGGGTGACATTTTTGTTTACAGTCCCCGTTGATCCTCTCCGTCCCTTCCCGGCAGATGAATTCCTTTGCCGGCTTGTCCAGCAGTGACAGTCCCATCACCTTGACAGGAGACTCCCCACTGCCGAAGGAGTAGTACCGCAGGGACGCCACCTCGTTGAAAGTAAAACTCAACCAGACATGGGGACGCTCCTATGTTTTTTTAGTAAAAAGAGAATGTGAATGATTTTTTTCCAAAAATGAGCCTTAATGTGATTGCACAAATCCCAAAGTTACTGAACTATATATACACACCTCGTTGTCAGGCGTCTTGCCGTATTGGACGACTGTTTTCTTCTCGTCCACATCTTCAGTCACACAGACAAAGTACGACTGGTACAGGGTTGCCGAACCCAGACCGCCAGCGTTGTCAACCAGCTGGGTTTTTTGTAGCCGCATGGCCTAGAGGTATGTTTTAAACTTACCGTTAGAACCATTACACATAGCCGCGCCCAGCGGTATCTTTAGTCAACTTAGTTTATACTATATTATTCTATCAAATTACGATTAATATCAAAGTTCAGGAATTGCGTCTACATCAGGTACAACGCTGCCAATAGTTGCAAGAAAAGCTTCATGGTGATATCTTAGCCCGAAACAGGATACCTTGGGTCCACATGGACCCTAACACTATGTATTCTGTACATAGTGACAGATTAATCAGTCTGGGAAGGTGTACTGTTGATGGTCAAACCAATGGCATCTCCATTACTTTCTGCACCATTAAATTTTGAGCGAGATGTCTAATGACCATACTGATCTCACATATCTCACCTTTTAGTGCATTTAGAAAAAGCCATGGCATTCAAACAAAAACATGGTAGTGAGTGTTCCTAGAGAAGGATAAATAATATGTCCTGATTGGTATAAAACACATTGTGTGTAAAACATGCCGGTTTAGGGTACCTCAAGCTTACGTGACAAGTCAGAATACTATAGCAGATCGTGCATACCTTATACAGTGCCACTCCCTCGGGTGTGATCTGTACATATATCCAGGTCTCGTAGTTCTGCGGGATGCTGGCAAACACAACAAAGATGTCGCCCTCTGATGCTGCAGTGAAGTGGATACACTTTCCTCCATCGGTCGGATCAAAGCGATGCGCGTTGGACCATTGGATGGAACACGGTACATCTCCCACTGTGTCACTGCAAAACAAGGACCAAAAACTTTACATTCATCTTAAATTTAAGTACCTCTTTTAAATATTACAAAATACCTTTTTTAGGTAACTACATCCCGTGTTGATTGTAATCGGTACTAAGTTTACTTACCTTTTCTGGCTTAAGTGGTTGAGTAGTTGTTTGTACTCGGCTCTGGCGACCTCACGATTGCTTACCCAGTCTGGTAAGTCTGTCAGTAGTTTAGCTGAGGCTTTAAAGTCGTTCTCCGTCACCGTGAAGACACCTGTTCCCTCATCATACGTCATGACAAGCCCCTGAACGCTGACCTGCGGAATAGTCATATAATAAATCAACACATGTGAAATTCAAGTTTGTAAAATTTTCGTAAATATGTTTGTGTAAAGAAATAAAATATGATGTTCTAATGTTGTTAACCTTTTTCGCCTGGACGTCCTCGCTTCCCCCGTTTTTATAGCCATCATACAGATGGGGCACAAACCCTTTCCTGGTGGAGAACCACTTGTGACGGAAGAACTTCAGCGTCACCACGTCTTGAGCCCGAAGAATCCCTGGGATGTCGTACGGCATGTCAAACACGACCATAAACTCTTGTCCTCCGGTCATGTCTTCCCATGTGGGCACGCCGGTGTTGTCTTCCTGAAGGAACGCCAACATGGCGGTTTCACAGCCTGCCTCTCCAGCGGGCAGGAGGAAGTCTGAACTCAGGATACGACCCTGCAGGTAAAACAAGCTTGTTGAGTAATATTCTGATATTTTAGATTCTGATTATCACTGGACTGGAATTTAAAGGCCAATAAAGCTGTAGAATCGTTGACCCTTCAATATTACAGAGATCGGTGCAGTTGCAATAAAGCACTTGTCTAGAAAATGAAATTGACTTCACTTAAATTAGGCAATGTTAGAACTACAAATACCCTCCTTACCTCTTCCAGATACACTGTAACAGCACGTTGAAGCGCCAGCCTCCTCTTGGTCATGCTGTCCTCAAGGGCTTTACGGTCTTTAAAATTACAATAACGGATCTCAGTGACCGTCACCGTTTTAGTCCCATTCTTAGTTCCCTTCTCACCAACATCTGGTTTTGTTGTCTTTTGTGTGTAATATTTTCTCCCAGTTCCCACTTCCGTCTTTAAATTCCTAGAATAATAATTAAAAAAAATCGGCAATGTATTACGGTTACGTTTAACTCTCAATCCACCGTAAGTTTTTACAACCAATCTTACCGTATGGGGTCAAAACAGACCTTATAATGTTTTGAACGTACATAGCTTTTTGTTAGTATTTTGTGATTTTTATGTATCTGTCGTTTCGTTAATCTATGAGAGATAAGTTGGCATAATCAGGAGTAAATAATTTATCCTAATTATTATAATTTCAGCACCTGAAACAAGTCGCATTCACGCAGCCATGTCACTGACCTTTGACCCCAAGCCCATAGGCAACTACGCCTAGGGTCATTTTTTTTAGTTTTCTGATTCAATATTTTTAGGTTCTTCTGTAGTCATGTGTTTAGTAAATTAATGGCAGCAGACCCCCCCCCCCTACCAAAAAAAAAACGTCAAAAGTTACGGCACATAGCTATATACACCTGGGTTCAGTTTTGACCGCATAATGTGGTTTGATGGTTCAAGCGTAAACTGCGTAGATTACAAATCCAATCAAATAATCAAATTTAATTACATTAACTGTATGCATGAACTATCTACTTCGTGCGTGTATTAACGGAGCTATATAATTGTGAAATATCACTTGATGTACGACCTAGAAATCTACTTTACGACATCTAGTCTATTATAGTAACCTTTTTATTTACTAATAGATCATCTACTTCTTACTACTAATTATATCTACTTTTACTACAGGACGATTTAATTCAAAAATACTATATACATGATCGTATACTCGTACCTCTTACCAAGGCAGCCATAGTCCACATCTCCTGCAGGGAAGAGCGAGACGAAGGGGATGTTCAGTAGATCTGAGACCAGCCTCAACACAAAGGAGAAGGGTTTGGGGTAGTCGTTAATGGACTCTAACCAGTCCTTCAGCTCTGTTGTTAGGGCTGTCGTGTACATCTCCGTGATGGCAGCGGCGATCTTCTGGTCTCCGCCTTGAACCACCAGCTCCTCGTGACTGTACTCCTGTGATGATCTGAATGAAAGAGATAAAACAATAAGCTCATAACTCTGTGATTTTGTTCTGTAATATTATGATTTTAACAAAACCGCGTATCAGCTCTAAAACATTCCATTAAGTAAGGCATATTCATTTTCAATGAATAAAGAAGAACTCTCAAAGTGAATATGCACTAGTGTAAATGCAACTGAACATTGAAAGAAAGCAAGATCATTCTGTAAAATGATAATGACGATAACATTGTAGAAAGACTAATACAATTTCACAAATACAACAGAACCTTTATAACTGACAATAATCAAGTTGTACATGTATTAATAATGTTTATATTCCACTCTTTAATTAACAGACTTACGCTTGCTTCTCTTTCTGTCTGTTTGCCTGTGATGCAGAACCAGAAGCTGCATGTCCAGAAGACTGTTGTGATTCAGTCTTCGACTCTTGATCGTGAAACCAGCTACTGGACTTGGTCTGTGACGCCTGCGCTGCGAAGGTGCTAAGAGTCATCTTCCAGTCAGCCTCGGCTCTAGTCGCGAATTCAGACATCGACAGGTCCTGTGTAGCTTGTTTTGTTTTGATGATCTTCAGCTGGCCTCCAAATTTGGCTGACTTGATGTAGTGTGTTCCCCAGCGGATGTAGAAGTTTTCTGAAATTTCAGAGGTATATAACCGTTCTTGTTGCAGACAGCAGGAAACATTGTATGTCAGGATATTATTACCCTTTGTTGTATTCGAAGTAATGTACATTATTTCTATCTTCTACGTCTAGTAATTTCTTAATGTTTTTAGAGTGAGAGACAGTAATGTATCCGCCTTGGATAACGAACCGGATTGATTTGGTAAAGCTTAATAACATATTTTTCTACTTACGGAAAATAATTTCTGCACCGGGAGAGAAGTAGGACTCAGGCAGGAAAATGAAATCTCGTAGAAAGCCCACGTTTAACCGTTCCGGCGTCACGTCGTCCATGAAGATCTCATATCTAGGTAACACGGAACACAAGATAGTAGCAGGTCATTCATTTTTCAAACCCGAATATCCCTCATTTTGGCTATTGTGTACTGTCTGATACTATTCTGTACAGGAGAAAAGAAATATGCTATGTAATACCAGGGAATATTTGACCGGTAATAGAAGCAGCATCATTTATCACCTGAATATGTTTATTTCCAGCATGGCCATGAAAATTTGTGTCCGGTTCTCACTAAGCCGAGCGCTGGCAGAGGAGCTGGCACTAAAGCCTGATGATTGGATGGATGAGCCCCTCTGACTGGATTCTCCTCCTCCTACTGAGAAAATGAGTCCAAACGGTCCACCCCCTGCTCTGTGTCCAGAAGCCTTGTTGATCTCTTCCTGGAACATGGCCTTGGCAGAAGTGACGGCCGATTTCTCCGCAAGATATTTCCTGTATTCTTCAGTTGAACTAAAGGTGTAGGATTCTGCTTCTGTGTCGTATATGCCTTGCACTGTCATGGAATCGGGTACTTCGTTTTCGCCGTATCTGTTCAAAGTAAATGAAAATGAGTTACTGCGGTTCGCGTTGTATAAAGATTATAAAAATCCATAGAAGCCCGATAAGTGCAGATGTAGTGCTAGGTTTTGTACCATTACTTGATTGGTTTTAGGGATGTTCCGAATGCACAAACTTTTATCTGCAAACAGTGTTTTCTCTTTAAAATACAATACATTCATTACGTCATTAAATAATCACGTCGACACAGATATGTCTTACGTTTGCAGATTTTGGCAAGATCTCTGGATGACACTTTTCTTCCTAGATTCAGCCGAGTACACGCCTCTTCCGTCGAAGCCAACGCCGAGGTAGGTTGCGCCGTCAATTAGGTTCTGTACATTGCATGTATTAAAGTTATATGCATCAAACAGAATAAAGACGTTCATATGAACCTTTTTTTGTAAGAAGAAATGGAAACATTGATGAAATTTTAAGGAGAATAACCTGTATACACCTGTTTTAATGATATGGTCCGCCATCTTGGATTTTGGCCAATGACGTCATCGAATTAGCATAAATTATGCATTTTAATGATAAAATTTACATAAAACTATGTGGGATGTTATTTATATTAGAAACTTTTTGAAACTTGACATAAGACCCATAAAATTTTATGTTGAAACGAACATGACTAAATTTAGCAAAAAAATGCCTGTTAGAAACCCGTTGCCATGGCAACAAACAAAAAAATCATTATCTTATTCCACTGATACGGAATCGTTGCCAGCAATATTTTCGGAAAAGTCACAAAGTTTGGCCGTTCTAGCGCTAGCCTTTCAGACGCTATGTGACGTCAAATTTCGCGCGGACACTTTTAGCCCCCCCCCCCCCGTCTAGATAGGGTTAACTAAAAAGAATTTATAAAATGAAAATCCTTTCAGGAATCTACTTTTTCTATTTGCCAATTGATTTGTGTTTAGCGTGATCTATTAGCCTTAAACACACAGAGGAAGGTTACTCTACTACCATATCTGTATGTATTAAAAAAAAGGTTACCGGACAGCCTGTTCTTGGTATTTTGGCCTTCCAGCAGGGGTCTCCATTCTTATAGCCTGTCCCGAAACAGCCGTTCATCAGAACTGGTCCTAGTCCGGCTGGGTAGGTGTAGGCTGTTGCCTCTCCAGTGGAACTAACATTGTCTTCATCCCTTGTCATTTATAAAAAAAATCATTATATTTCGTCATCTAATGTTAAATGCGACACTAAAGAAAAAACGCCATCAGAATTTTAAACAAGATAATGTTGTGACCAAAAGGGCGAAGCTTTCTTTACAACACTAAGTAAATTGGGGACTTACCCAAATGTTCGACCAACTCCTTAAGCCTTGTTTTCGGAATTGACTCTTCTACTGCAGCTTCCGGGACGTGACGTCGAAAACGTGATTGCAGCGAAGGGTCGTACGTGTCAGATAACCTATATCGCCCCCGTCTCTGTTCAGTGTTGGACCGTTGATCCGAATGTACACAGTCCCCTTCACTCCTCTCGCAAAGAATTTGCTGCAATCACGTGTTTCTGACGTCACGTCCCGGAAGCTGCAGCAGAAGAGTCAATTCTGTAAACAAGGCTGGCGGAGTCGGTCGAAAATTTGGGTAAGTTTCAATGTACTTAGTGTTGGATAAAAAGCTTAGCCCTTTTGGTCATAATGAAGCACACCAACACAGATGAACTTTCATGCTAAGGTAATGTTGTGTATTTTTTTTCATTAATATACTATCGACTGGGAAGAAAATACTATTTTGATTTGTTATTGCAACAACATATTTTATCAACTAATGAAGTAAGGAATTGGGCATATAACAGATGTTAACCAACCCGTCATCCTTGTACTTGTACTTATGTCGGATCTCCCAGCCTGGTGGTGCATACATGTTACCCATCGTGGCCCCTGGCCTAGGAACAAGCTGGATGTCCGCCTAGTAAACAACAACAAATTTGAGACCCTTACGAATGGTCTTTGTACTTCTTTGTGCTAGTGTAATTTACACCATATGTTTATTTTACAACATTAGTTCATTTTACCTTAAGGTCTAAGGTAAGGTTTATTTTACAACATCTTAATGCTAAATTTATACCGTGTCTTTCTTTAACCAGAACTGTAACGTTTGTGTAAGTATCCCTAACCCACCTCCTCTACCGGCCGGTTCAAACCCGCTGCCAGCCCATTGGTGTCCTTTAGCAGTTCTTTGTACTCATCGTCGAACTTGTCCATCTGTTTCCCCAGGTAGTCCTGCAGACCGCTCACAACCTTCTCCTGGTGGTTCTCCACTACACCGTCCGCGATCCTGTCGCCAAGCTGGCTGACGACTTTTCCTCCTATTTCTTTCGCTGCTGCTGCCAGAAAGGCTGGAACTGCCCTTTTCGTCATTTTGTTGTCGACAGGAGAACTTTCTGCCCTGTGTTGGGATCCTACATATCAAAGGTAATGCAGCCATTTTACTGTTGGGATGTCTACAGGATTATTAACTTACAGATACTTTGTCACGTTCAAGATGACGTTGTTACTAATGTTACCTTTTGATTCTTCAAAATAGTTTTAAATTTGAATTTTAACGGGGGTGATAAGAAGGACTACATATGTCTTTTTCTGTACGTTCTTGAATGTGGAGCACTACTTTATTCATCAAATTATAGACTTTCTGTCTTTCTGTCTGTCTGTCTGTCTGTCTGTATGTGTTTTTGTGTTTCCGCATATTTGTTTTCAGCATAACTTCATAACACCTTTATGGGTTGTGATGATATTTGGCTTGCAGTAGGTCTTAGGAAAATTATTGCCAAATAAATTATTACGGTTACCATGGTAATCCGTTTTCAGCCCAAAAGGAATCAACTGTTGTAAGTTAAAGGTAGGTATCCTTGCCACAAGATTTCATTTTTTGAAACTGTATAGCCAAGCATATTCTCATTCATGTACAGGGGACCTACTGTCTGGAATAATTTGAACAAAACATTAAAGCTATGTCCAACTTTAAACACTTTTAAAACTCACGCCAAAGCTGATTTTATAAATAACCCCAAACTTCCCTAGGTCTGGTTAATATTCAAATCATATCCTTCTATACAGCGTTTTCATGTTACTCATTATATTGTTACCTCCATGAAAAATGGAGGTATTGTTTTGGGCGTGTCTGTCTGTCTGTCTGTCTGTCTGTCTGTGTTTCCGCAACTTTGTAGTCAGCATAACTTCAGAACGCCTTTATGGATTGTAATGATATTTGGTATGATGGTAGGTCTTGGAAAGACAAAGGTCAAGGTCAAGTATGGGCCTCCTGGTGGATGACCTTGGTACTGCAGCAGAACTTCCGGTTTTTGTATCTTTTGTCCTGAACAAGCTATGGTCTTGACTTTTTAGTGACTGATAGCTTAACCTGTCAGGAATAAGTGGTGTAAGTTTGGTCCGCCTAGCAGCTTGTTCTGGAACTGCAGGTTAGTTTCTAGTAAAAACTTTCAAAGCCAATAAGTCCAGATTGGAACAACGTATTTTCATCATTTTTGGTGTCAAGGTACCTGAGAAACAGTTGTACATGATTAAATGCAAATAATGCAAATAAGGACTTAATTTGCATAATTAATTAGGAAATTTTATAATTACAGTATTTCATATAATAGTACTACTATACATGTAATCTATTTAATCTGTGGCAAGCGGAACATTCACAGATACCAATTATGCAAATGGACACCTAATTTGCATAATTAATGTGAAAATTCTATGACTCCTTATTGGTGAATGATGGGAATCTTATACCTCGTTACATGTATAAGTTACTTAAAGGTTAGCACCACTATGCATATATTATGTTAACGTTGAGGTCATTTGCATAATTAATGAGGACATGCTGAAATGAAGTATGACAAAGCAAGCCCATATTTCATGGAGGTATGAGATCTCAGAACTCTTGTTTAATATATGTATTGACTAATTTAATGAGTTGTTATATTTTCATCTTCTTGTAACCAATCCTACTTATCTAGTTTGGCTCACCGTATTGTTTCATTACTTATGCTAAACTTTATTATTTGTTAAATCGATTCATTTTTTCATTGTACTTGTTTATTATCTTTTTATTACTTCATTTTTATTTACATTTCATTCAACAAACTGTAGAAATTGTAAAATCATAAAGGGGTGGACGTTAAATAAGCCATGGCGGCTTTTTTTCCTGCCCTTGTACATTTATTACCTCCATGAAAAATGGAGGTATTGTTTTTGGCGTGTCCGTCTGTATGTGTGTCTGTCTGTGTGTCTGTGTGTCTGTTTGTCTGTGTTTCCGCAACTTTGTAGGCGGCATAACTTCATAACGCCTTTATGGATTGTGATGATATTTGGTATGCTGATAAGTTTTAGGAAGACAAAGGTCAAGGTCAAATATGGGCCTCCTGGTGGATGACCTTGGTACTGCAGCAGAACTTCCGGCTTTTGTATCTTTTGTCCTGAACAAGCTATGGTCTTGACTTTTTAGTGACAGATAGCTTATCCTGTCAGGAATACGTGGCGTAAGTTTGGTCCCCCTAGCAGCTTGTTCTGGAGCTGCAGGTTAGGTTCTGGTAAAAACTTTTAAAGCCAATAAGTCCAGATTGGAACAACGTATTTTCATCATTTTTGGTGTGTATGTACTTAAAAGACAGTTGTACATGATTAAATGCAAGTTATGCAAATGCGGACTTAATTTGCATAATTAATGAGAAAATTCTATAATTACAGTGTTTCATATAATGGTACTGCTATACATGTAATCTATTTAATCTGTGGCAGGCGGAACATCAACAGATACCAATTATGCAAATGATGACCTAATTTGCATGATTAATGTGAAAATTCTGTAAATTCTTATTGGTGAATGATGGGAATTTTATACCTTGTAACATGTGTAAGTTACTTAAAGGTTTGCATCGCTATGCATATATTATGTTAATGTAGAGGCTATTTGCATAATTTATGAGGACAAAGTAAGCCCATATTTCATGGAAGTATGAGATCTCTAAACTCTTGTTTCTTTTGTATTATTTTGTAAATTTTTTCAATATGTATGTATGTGCTAAATGAAAATAAATAAATAAATAAAAAAGCTATTGATGCTTTTTTTACCTATAATGCTGTGGTTGCAATTTTTCCACAATGCAATTAATGGTTTATTCTTGGGGTCATTGTGGTCCTCCCTATGGAAAACCCAACATTTTTTTCAGACATAATGTATATAAATGTCTGAGCCATTACTGTACCAAAAATCAAACAATTCTATTTGCCTTCTAAGCGGCTATGTGTTGCTAAAAACGTTTCAAAAATGGATTTTTACAAAAATAGTTCATCTTTAAACGTGAACGCGCACTAAAAATCAATTCGAGTAAATCTTTAAATCTTTATATCATTTCCTTTGCTGAAATATGGATAATAAAATATGTTAGAGACAATGAAATATGTGTTATTTTCTGTGAGATACAGAAGGTAGATATTGTCTATTTTGGGCGAGACTAATACCTTCACAAGGTGAAAATTGGCCATTTTGAAAAATGCAACAAGTAACCAGTGGTCTAAAACTTTCCCATTTTTGCAGGTTTGGGCCAAGGCCCGACCACCTTACATAGTTTGAAAATTTTTTTGAGTTTGGCCACTTTTTTCTAGCCTGGTTACCAATCCTATTATAGCTGCCGAGTCGCACTGCCGATCTGCGGAGAGAATGTAGGACTCGTCAGCTATAATAGGTTTAGTAACGAGGCTACTTGTTTTGTGGGAGGAGCCTATAATGGTACAGTATTGTGTGCTATTTGCAAGAATTCTAGGAATCGTACAGGAACTTTGTCCACAGGCATGGAATGTCCACAGAAATGTCTCCCAGCTCTGTTTGTTGACATGCCCACATTCCTGGAAACCCTTGTCAAACCTGCCTGCCCCAATGCTCTACTTTCTCATCTGTGATCTCAGGGCTCGTTCACTATTCACTCAAATGAGGGGAGGGTGCCAAGGCTTCCTCAAAATCATGAAAGCGTGGCAGCGCCATGCAAACAATAACTCTAACAGCAATCACTGTCGCCATGGCAATGTATGTTTTCATTGCCAGTCATTTTTCTGATTTGCTTGGTATTTACGGCCATCTGCTCTTAATATTTGACAATAGAAATTATCTATAATTATATAAGGTGTTATTAATCTAAGAGAGAAAGTGTAATTTAATAAAAAAATAAAAAACTTTAATGTTTAAACCAAAAATAATGAAGACAGCCTGTCTAATCCCGTTCCCGTGGCAACACGAAAACTTCATTAACTTATCGAATTAATATCCTTAATTAATATGTTTTAGAAAACTCACCAAATTTTGCGTGTCAGCAACATCAGAAAGAGGGAATTCTGTACATACCCACTGCTATGGCCAGGATGATATCCAAGACCAGTGTTGTGGTCTTCATCTTTCTCTTTGTCTGGAAAATTCATTATATTTTAGTTAAAAATGACCACCAACAAAGTACACAAACGTCTACTAAATTAACTATGAAGGTCAACTAAAGAGTTGACTAAACGGAATGGCCGCATGGCCTCCGAGTTTACTCCATTTTCTCCGTGTGTTTTCTGTGTACGGAAATCGAGTTTTCTGATGCCAAGCGAACCTGGAAGTGGCGTTAGGTCAGGGGCCATCATGGCCTTGCAAAATTAGAGTGATTTCATCTTATGTCGCTTCGGGTGCCGCGCTGGGGAGAACTCTGTTGATTGTAGAGATACGATTGCCTCAAACTCAAAGATGTACTGCAAGTCGTACTGTAGGAAATCAGACTAATGTATATGTGACCATAATATGATAGTAATCGACTTCCAGTTTCTCAAAAACCAACCTTGTTGTCAAATTCAATTTTTTCAAGCTGCCCTGTCAAAACTTTATCAAAGTGTCTAAATGCTGATACTTGTGCGTATAAAATATCAACCTCACAACTAAATTACCTTGTGTAGTATGTGTGTCTAGAAATATGGCTTGTAGTTTTGGTGTCAATTTGGTGGTATAAAAACAGTATACCTGTGGACACATTTTGGTACGGTTAAAAACCAGCGCTGGATTCAAGAAAAAAAGAATGGCCACTGACGAGATGAATAAACTCAATTTGGCCCTTAAGCCACAGCAAGTATTTATATAATAACTAATTATTTCCATTCAAAAATGTTATTCGAATGCTCGCGTCATAAATTACAAGCACATACACGAAATGGAATCTGTTGAAATAAGTGTGTAGTCAGCACATAACGGTTTTTATTTGTTTACGATTTAACTAGGGTCTTAAGGTTCCCAGGGGTTGCCTTTTATCAGATGGTTGAATCGACATGGCTTACTTAAAAATATACTTGGTGCAACGGAAGACACAAAAGTATAAACAAAATATAAACACTTCTGATGTACGATAGGCACATCTAAAACATATACATGGCATGCTGTTGATATAGGATAAATATATACATGTATGCTATACCTGTCATCATTTTATTGTGGTCTAAAACTTTCCCATTTTTGCAGGTTTGGGCCAAGGCCTGACCACCCCACAAAGTTTGAGAAAATGTTTGAGTTTGGCCACTTTTTTTCTAGCCTGGTTACTAATCCTATTATAGCTGCCGAGTCGCACTATTTTCGGAGAATGTAGGACTCGTCAGCTATAATAGGTTTGGTAACAAGGCTACTTGTTTTAAGGCCTAGTTAAAAACATACTTCGTGCAACGGAAAACACAAAAGTATAAACAAAATATAAATACTTGTCATGTACGATAGGCACATCTAAAACATATACATGGCATGCTGTTGATATAGGATAAATATATACATGTATGCTATACTTCTCATCATTTTGTTGTTCTGTACATTTTGAAAAATACTAGCTAGTTTGAAATTAAATTTTATTAGAATGCCGTCGGTAATAAAGTAAACTAAGGTACCACGTATGTTACATAAACTTCGGTATGCCTAAATACCTCAACCGACCTCAACCGGCCGCGTAATGGGTTAATATGCAGTATACATGGGCTAACAACCTTTTCCAACGCTTTGGATACATTGTCTATGCTTGGACATGCAGTAACTTGGGTTCATGGTAGCCTCCTTCCCAGTCTTGTTGGGCGTCGGCGTTCTTTTTTCTGTGAGCTACGCGAGTAATATGCCGCCGCGAGGGACGATTTGCTGCCGAGGGAGGATTCGCGAATCCTTCTCTCCGCGGCAAAAACTCCCTCGGCAGCAAATCGTCCCTCGCGGCGGCATATTACTTGCATCGCTCACAGAAAAAAGAACGCCGACGCCCAACAAGACTGCAAAGGATGCGAGGTTCATGACCTACTGCCCCCACTTCTGACCAGTGCATAAAACTAAAGGACTATAGTGCACCGCTTGACGTAGAAGGTAGCCCACCAGTGCAAGTAAATAGTTTTGTAATCATAGTAATTATAAATGCTCACCGAAAACAATGCGAAAACTTGAGAAACAACCCGAAAAGGACCTGCTCCGATGAAACCGACAATGACGACCTGCCCACCAGTAGAACTTCACAACGAATGTGGAGCAGGACAGGACCAGCTTTATATGCACAGAGAAACTGCCGACTTAATCACAAGGCTTCCATGAGAAAGTAACCTCGTGAACACATGAATCTTGATAACAATTGTTGACTGTTTGGAAACCATGTCTTAACTTGCCACCAAATGTAAACAGAAATATATTCTAGGCCATTTTAAAAGCCTTTTCGGTATTTGTTCAAAGTCAAGTCTGTAATTAGTCTGTAAATGGCGTTCCTTTATATATATATGATCCAGACAACACGTCTTTGACACAAAGCATGCATGGGATAGGAGGCACATGTGCACACAGAAATCTCGATAAGAATTATCTGCTGACAATTGTTTACTCTTTGTCTGCTAATATGGCAGACGAGTGCATTACATAGTGCATTATCATTTTCTACGGAGCGGATTTCTGGGTAAAGCCGTGTAAATACATCCCAGATGTTTTAGACACCGGTTGGGCAAGGCGTAGCCTGATTGGTCAAGACAATATGGTCTGACCGGAGGTAGCGTCCCCTATCTCTTTCTACCTGAACGCACAAGCGATCGGCCCAACTCGATCGGCCACGTACAGTTATTATCGCCATATATTCAATGCCTACTTTCTGTTTTTGTTCATCCTTACTAAGGCTGATGTGGTTCAGTGGTTTTTCCTAATTTTTCTGTAATCCGCAACGACAATTTTCCCCATATTCTTCATACTCCCAGCACTAACTTAAGCGTAAAGTCTATTTCCATGATCGTTCAAGTTCAAGTTTATGACCTAGTTCAAGTTCAAGGTCATGTTTATATGTCTCATTTGTTATAAAATTAAACAGTTGTGTTCCTGCCAAACTTAGCTCTCCGCATTGTCATTAGTTCCTCGTATTGTTATTAAGCAAGGAAATCCGCATAGTATAAAAACTGTTTTTGGCATGCATGGCAAAAAGAGACTTCTAGTTATCGCATGCACGACCAATTCTTTGTATTAAATATAAAGTAAGGCTATGTTGATTTGATTATATGGATTACATCCTTTGGCAACCTCAAAACTGATGTGAGTGTGCGAAATCTAAGAAAGTTGAACAGCTGACTAAACACACAGAGTATGGTAGGGCGAATAATAGATTTTTCTTTAAAATTATGGCTGGTAGGTTGTCACGGAAATGAAATGTACAGTGGGTGTCACTGGAAGACAGACGAAAAATGTCCAGACTATGCATGCTGTGAAAAATGACTAATAAGCTGGTGGACGTCCCAATTACTAATTACCTAATACCAGCCCAGAGGAGAACAAGAAATAGCCATGCCTCAAAGTACCGGAGTTATTAAGCAAGGATTGAGGTATTCAAGAAATCATTCTTTCCTAGAACTATCGAAGAGTGGAACTCGCGGTCCCCAAGTACAGTAGATGCATTGTCATTAGATAGCTTTAAACAATGTCTAGAGTTATATTTTCAATGGTTAGGTGTAGCAAGTCGATCGGTGTAATGTAGCCAGCTGCCGCCGCGCCGCTCTGCCTGCGAAGTTGGTGTGTTACGCCGAAAGGCGGTTATACCGGCTAAACAGATACAGATACAGATGTGGCAAAGTGGTGACGTGAAGACATATTGTTTTCTCTCATGTTTCTTCGCCTCTTCCTCCTTCTTTTTCTCCTGTCATTTTGTTAAATCAATTCAACTTCTTTATCTTGGGGGCAAATGACAAAATTTAGCGTGAAGGTAGAATAGTCAAATACCCAGTGCCTTTTATTTTTAACATGCCTTCAAAATTGTTTTATTTTTTTTCCATTTTCAGGCAAAAAATATATATTTTGGGATCTGGAGCCCTGGTGCTAAAATTGAATGACCTGAAATTTTGTATGGGGATACCTTCGACATATGTCTTCAAAACATCATACAAGCTTTAAAATTGTAACAAAATAGGGCTTTTTGGCTTTTTTTTCGGACAAAAAAAGTTGTTTGCTCCTATCCCCTAATACTAAATCCGAATGACCTAAAATTCGGCATGGAAATACCTTGATACATGTCATTTACGCTTTAAATATGCACTACTTTAAAATTGTGTAAAAGGGGCTTTTTGGATTTTTTTGAAAAATAATTTGCAACTTTAATCTCATAACCCCGTTTCTAACTGTTAAATAAAATTAGCAGTTCAACCAATGAGGAACTAGCAATGAGCTATTTGACAAATAAAATAATTGCTGCATTTTCGTCAAAGATGTACATTTCAGTCTTCACATTTTGACAGAACCAGGCTGATGTTCGAGATCGAGCCAACCTTGAACCTTGACGGGGACATCAGGGATGTCACCATCAAAACAAATGGTTCCCATTTGGAGTGCCTGGTTTACATCAACGTGGCAGGCACGAAGCTCTATCGCTGGACTTACAAGTTTTAAGTCGTATTTCCTTGGATTAAGGCTGAAGGGAGATTAGATAATGTCATACATATATCCCTGTGCACGGGGCACAGTGCTTAAAACGTTATTTCTGACATGCCGCAAATTTACCGAATCGTTTTTTCAAACGTCTTTATAAATTTCATGACAAACCTCTCTGGATCGCATAAAGTATATGGGATATGGCATCTAGGGAACTTGATATTTCTTATGCGTGATTTTTCAATGCACACGTTATAACGTTTAGTACAGGATCTGCACTGTGTTCCTACTGCCTGTACAATTAGAAAGCTGGGCCAGGCGTACTTCCTTCTCTTCATCGTAATCTTCCACTTTTCCTCGGGTAAATCAAAGAAGTAAAGAGACATCAAAGTAGTCTGATAATTTATCAAGATCAACAAGACGCCTAGAAATAAGTCTTACTTCTGGGTAAAGAGACTCTTTTTACACAACCAAGTCTTTTATCCAAGCCGAT